CATTCTCCTGCAACTCCTTTCCTTATCCTAGGGAGATTGCAGGTAATCATATCATCTGGGGCCATGTAAGTTCTTAGCAAATAATCTATGTATATAATGAAACTAATGTGATCATATTCATCTTTACCATCGAATTCTGGCCAGACTTTGATAGGAGGCATGTATTTGTGTAGATTGGCTAATTCAGCAGCCGTATAAGGAGTAGAATTTCTTATGAAATCTGTTTCCTCATCTGATTTTCTCTGCATTCTGGGATCAGGAGAGTAGCTTTTTATTTGTGGAGTGCTAGATAGCATAAGGGGGTTATTATACTTAGGTTCCTCAGATGGCGCTGGTAAAGGAGGCTCATCTTTTTTGCTATAAGAAAAATGAGGGGCTCCTTCTTTTACTTTTGTTATATGTTGAGGATTCCCTTCCGGAAAGCCCTTACTCTTACAGTCATAATTGGTAGAGCGCGCCTCAGAGGCAACTAGGTTCTCATAGTGGTCTTTAAAAGTTTTGAACTCATTTTGCATTACATTCTGTAGCGCTACTAGATCTTTACTTAATCTATTGAACCTCTCTTCGCCATGATGATGCTGTTGTAGTAGCAGATTCTTTAGCTCCTCCAATTGGGACTCAGTTCTGGATCTATTCACTATGTTATCTTGTCTCAGGGAGGACAAGATAAAATCTGCGCTGGAGTTATGTAACGCCGCTGAATCTCTAGAGAATTGAGCGATCTCATTGGTAATCTCTTTATTATCTTTTGCTTTTTCTCTCAAATACTCGACATCTTTTTGGACAACAGTGAGTAACTCACTATGTTTGCTAGTCATCTCAATGGGTAGCGGGCGTTCTAACAATTTAATTATCTGCAACACTTTAGAATCTAAACTATCTTTGATTTTATTAACAGAGGTTTCAAGATTAGATACAATAGAAGAGAAGTTTAATTCGCTATTAGAGTCTAAGGTGGAGAGGTTAAAGTCGAGTGATTCTAAAGAGTCTAGTATTGCGTGAGCCAATTTAGAATTCAGTTCAGGTTCTGGTAGAGACCGGCGGCTACTTTGAGCAGGTCTGCTACATTCTTCCACTTGGCTGGATCGGCGTAGTTGATCGAACTTGAGCTCTGTTTCTTTCCCGAGTCGTTCTTCTTGAATTTCATTAGTGACTTTTTGGGAGGAGCGGGGAAGTGAATCTTCTTTTCCTCCCAAGGGTTCCACCCTTTTACATAACTCTCGATCTCGTCGTTGTCGATGAGTTTTTGCAGAGCCTTCTGACTCTCCTGAGCAGTAGTCAGTAAGGCTCTGAGCTTTGCCGTCGGCCCTTCTCTGGATGCTACCTGACATTGCCTCCAGAGCCCGACGTGCTCTTTCACCCGGAGTTTGATTTGATCCTCCTTCGAGAGGACTCGAATCTCCGGCGTGGAAGGGCGTTTCAGGGTAGCTACCGAGCATTCGGGGTCGAGCTCGTCCACGTCCATGGGCGTGTCGGTCTCCGTACTCGGACGTTGATCGTTTTGGTTCTTGGTCTGAGTCTCGGCCACTCCCTTGCGAGCTATTGTGGTCATCTGGAGGCCTTCTACTCGTGTTTCCAGCTCCTTTGCCGCCGCGAGGTCGCGTTGGAGCTGGGAGGGGACCTCTGAGATCGGTGCAGTTTGATCTGGTCGATTTAGTCATAGTAATTAGTTTCTAGATCGTCGAGGAGATTAATTATCAAAAAAAAAATAAGAGGTAGTATTCACTTTTAGCGGTTTGAGGCGAGGAGCCGTCGTCTGAGTCGATGGAAGGGGTTGGGCTAGCTCTTTCAGCTCGGATGATTCCTTTTTCAAGAGTTGACACTACCGGGATTAGGTCGACAAAGAAGTAAGCTTTTGAAAAGGAAATAACGTAAATTGGATGAGAGAAAAAAATGTACTTCTCTCCAAGTATTTCTTGCCGACGGAGTTGG